ATCGGACTCCCGCTACGCGGTCGTCCGATTTTGTTAATCACTCGTATGATTACAGACCGAATTGGACTCCACTCAGTCCTGTTACCATTACTTATACATCGCACACTGAAGTTTGTTTGTGATAGTAATATCGTTGTTCTGCCGAAATTTTTAGCATTGCTGTCGATAATCTGTGACAGAACTCACAAAAATTAGTGTAAGTATTTTCAAGCTGCAATCCTTTTCTCAGCCTTCGTCGCTCACGTAGTCCGGCGTGGGCTATCCTTGTCAAGATAAATTGGTTTCTCAAGACAGACGGAAATAGTTTCGCTGTATCCAATAGTATGAGGTTTTTCTTGGAAAATGGAACATTTATTATCTTTTCATTGCCGCGCAAATTTTCCGCGCTGCAAAATATATACATCTAGGGTTTTTTTTTCATATCACTCAGACTCGTAATTTGAATAAGTATTGATAACAAAAAATATTCCTGGCTTTTTTACTAATGATGTTTTTACGTTACAGCTCTGTACCGTAGAATGAACAGCAAAAACGGGCGGCAAAAATGTAACTTGTTTTCCAACATTGCTGCAAAACGAATTCCATTGGTATGTTTCGCGTTTTACCACACAAACCTGTTCAGCAACAAATCAGGTTGCTGCACGTTACAAAAAGTTGTTGCAGAAAGTGGAGAGTAGTTATACCTTTTGCAACAGAGTGTGTACATGTTGCGCGTTTTACAGGCCCAAGACAAACTTGTTTTCCAATAAGTGACGTAACTCCCGTGCATGGCGCGCTCCCGCGTAAGTTTATCCAATCAGAAGTCAGAATTCACGCAACTTGCAAATCAGGTTTAAACTTGGGTGGTAAAAGGCGTAACTAAGCTTTTCAACTCGTTTTGTGGCAATGTTGAAAAAAAGTTGCACGTTTTTGTCGCTCGTTTTACCGTGGCTTAAAGGTTTATGCTTCAGCGTGACTTATCCGAGGTTGGTGTTCTGGGTGGCGTTGCTGCAATGACACAGCGATGTCAGCCATTTGTTTCCTATGGTCATAAAAAAAGCAGTTGAGCATAGCGAGAAATGTGACGTCAAATCATACGACAGAGGACGCAACGATCTGATATTGTTACATGGCCAGAAAATTCTGCTGTGACTTCTTTGAGTATAACATACCGTTAACTGCCGCTTGCAAGCTCCCTCCGAATGTATTGAAATGAATTCGAATTATTTTCCCGTTTTGACGGAGTACGTTTTTTAAAAGCTCTCCCGTTTATATTGGAGTCCTCCTAAACCCCCCTCCCCAGGGGGGGCTCCTCATAATGGCTTATATGGGAAGGCTCCGTCAGGAAGGGATACCTTTTTCAGGCTCCAGGTATACGAAAGGGTAGGGATTTCACTACTTAACGTTATAACAAGGTAATGAAATCTGACATTTCGCTCTGTTAAAAGTCCCAAAAGAACTTACAGATGCATTTTATGGCTGCTAAAAAGTCGAGAAACGTCCTAGGTTTTAGCATTTGTTCATATTTAAAAGAGTTTATTTAGAGCAGTTAAAATGGATGTAAAGATCTAGCCTAGGTATATGAAAGAGTTACCATTTGTGAATCAAAACTATACGAAAGGGGCGCCTTTTCCGTCGAAAATGGTATATAAAAATGTAAGGGGTTGGACCGCGGGGCGGGGCCTCGTATAAAAATTTGTTGCGTACCCCCGGGGCTAAAAGAAGCCCACGCAACGATAACCGGCAGTTTACGGTATCATGCTACAATTGATGAATATTTTGTTGCCTACTTATGACATCCAGTAGTTTTTGCTGATTGAACCACCAAATTTTTGTTGTCGGACTTTCTGTCAAATGCCACTCAAAAACTGATCTGATCGACGTGGCATGATGAATCTTACGATGACACCTGACCCCACATCAAGGCCACCTTGAATTCACGCTTTAAATATCACAATCAATCAAAAAATTCTCAAATACATTTTGTATATACAGTCTAAAGATGAGGAATCTCTCGTCAAACAAGCTTTTTTAATGTCATTCGACTCACACTGTAATGGCAAAAATAGCTTCCACTCTCATTTAATGAATATGTCAGAAGCTTAAGCTTCCTGACTTTAACCCTGATTTATTAGATATAGCCATGGTAAAAAGCTATGTAAGTTAAATGAAACAGGAATATATCACATATTGGCAAAACACCCTTTAACATTCTCAAAAACTTGCACTTTATAGATCTTTTAAAACCGATCATACCTCCTCTAGTTACTAAGACTTAACAAGAGGAACAGCTGGGAGAAGGGCTTTAGTAAAATTACGAATAAGCAATCACAAACTAATGATAGAAATAGGCAGATACAGTCAAACTACGAAGGATAATAGGCATTGCCCTTTTTGTGGATGCAATGTAATAGAAGACGAACTTCACTTTCTTTTTCAATGTCCTACATACTCTATGATTAGGAACAAATATTACTATTAAGTCAAGACTCCGATTCCAAATATTACCCAGTTAGCTATAAACGTTTTGATCAATGAACTGATGAACTCTTCTAATTACTTTATCAATATACAATTCATAACATATATTTCAGCTTGTGTTGAGGTTCGTGATGAATTATTACCAGAGTAACGTAACTGCCCTGTGTTGTAATTTTGATTCCTAAACATAGCTTTTGCAATACTGCATGTGTTTGTATGGTCAAGCAAATAAAGCTCGTTGTTGTTGTTGCACGCTCTTTTGAGTGTCATCAGTGTTGTGTAGGTTTGGCTTCAGTATCAAAAGAATTTCAGTCAAATGAACTCTGAATTGCGCTCTTCTTTTTTATTTTTCCCCACAAGAAATTACTCGTCTCTGAATAAGAGTTAGGCCAAGACGTCGGAGGCTAGTTGAGGCCTTCTCGTAAAGGCCAGCAACTGGTCTCGCAGCGGCAACGAAGAGAGACGGCCAAACCGATAGTTAAACAAGCAAGATCCCCGCCCCACAAAAATGGAGAAAACAGATAGGGTGATCTCGTGTAGACTATACACTCTACCTAAAACGACGAAAAAAGGCAAAACACAAGAGCGATTAGGTAAACATTTTTATCGCTCTAAACGATAATACATATAATCATAACTATAACAAAATTCTCAAATCTGATTGGTTCTCAACTGCCCTGATTTCAGCCTTAATAGGACAGTTTAATAGGACAGTACGCGTCATGCCTAAGTAATTGGACAGTACGCGCCATCACGCGCGCGCTTAAATGGCTTTTTTTTTTATAGCTAGCGAAAAAATCTTGGAATTTCTTGTGTTTTGATTTAAAAAGAGCCCTATATATCACAAATTTTGTTAAAGTTATCATTAATTGGTAACAGAACTTCGTGTCGTCCAATTCGGTCTGTAATCATACTCGTGATTAAACAAATCGGACTCCCGCTACGCGGTCGTCCGATTTTGTTAATCACTCGTATGATTACAGACCGAATTGGACTCCACTCAGTCCTGTTACCATTACTTATACATCGCACACTGAAGTTTGTTTGTGATAGTAATATCGTTGTTCTGCCGAAATTTTTAGCATTGCTGTCGATAATCTGTGACAGAACTCACAAAAATTAGTGTAAGTATTTTCAAGCTGCAATCCTTTTCTCAGCCTTCGTCGCTCACGTAGTCCGGCGTGGGCTATCCTTGTCAAGATAAATTGGTTTCTCAAGACAGACGGAAATAGTTTCGCTGTATCCAATAGTATGAGGTTTTTCTTGGAAAATGGAACATTTATTATCTTTTCATTGCCGCGCAAATTTTCCGCGCTGCAAAATATATACATCTAGGGTTTTTTTTTCATATCACTCAGACTCGTAATTTGAATAAGTATTGATAACAAAAAATATTCCTGGCTTTTTTACTAATGATGTTTTTACGTTACAGCTCTGTACCGTAGAATGAACAGCAAAAACGGGCGGCAAAAATGTAACTTGTTTTCCAACATTGCTGCAAAACGAATTCCATTGGTATGTTTCGCGTTTTACCACACAAACCTGTTCAGCAACAAATCAGGTTGCTGCACGTTACAAAAAGTTGTTGCAGAAAGTGGAGAGTAGTTATACCTTTTGCAACAGAGTGTGTACATGTTGCGCGTTTTACAGGCCCAAGACAAACTTGTTTTCCAATAAGTGACGTAACTCCCGTGCATGGCGCGCTCCCGCGTAAGTTTATCCAATCAGAAGTCAGAATTCACGCAACTTGCAAATCAGGTTTAAACTTGGGTGGTAAAAGGCGTAACTAAGCTTTTCAACTCGTTTTGTGGCAATGTTGAAAAAAAGTTGCACGTTTTTGTCGCTCGTTTTACCGTGGCTTAAAGGTTTATGCTTCAGCGTGACTTATCCGAGGTTGGTGTTCTGGGTGGCGTTGCTGCAATGACACAGCGATGTCAGCCATTTGTTTCCAGTCACTGTAAGTCAGGGACGGCGTGGACACAACGTGTGGGATATATTTTTGAATCCGATCCAAAATAGGATGTGCTATATCGGTACCCTGAACCAATCCCAGCGCTTCTTTTTGATAATATAATGGTGTGCCCCTCAACAACATCAGAGGAAAGGCGACCAGCGACCCATCTGTGATCTCCTGAAGATGATGAATCGTTCTTTGAAAGCTTTCTACAGTCTGTAAGGGCAATCCAAAAATGAGACTGATTTCGTGGTTAATTTTTCGCTTCTGAACGAGCGCCAGTTTCTCTAAAACTTTCTTAGCTAAGCTGTGCGGATTGGCATTCTTCACGCGTTCGATGTGCACAAGTTCTGCTGGATCAAGTGTCTGCACACCAAACTCTAAAATGACATCAGCTCCAGTAGTTTTACTCAGCGATTCCACCTGATCTAAAAATGCAGGAGTCACTCGCTCCGGACGGCACTGTAAACTTATTTTCCCCGAAAACCCAAGGCGCTCTAAAAAATCCAGAACGGTGTATCCATTTGTGGTGTTGAAAGTCGGGTCTAGTACTGCTACATCTTTCACACCGTTCTCAACAAACCACTCTATTTCTGCGAGGATGCGATCTCTTTGCGCGTGTTGAATTTTCGTCCAGCTTTTGTTTGACGATCGCCACGAAGCTGGGTCTCTGTGCTGGCAAAACGAACAGCTGTAGGGACAGCCTCGTGTTGTTTCCCAGCGCATGAAGGGCTGTGGCTTCAGTGTGCCATCTAAGAAAGGCGATGGGAGCTGGGCTATAGTGGTGGCTGTGTGAAGACCCCTGTTGAAACATGGAAAATGACGTAAATGATCTTATAGATTCCCTCTCTCAAATAATAATCCCCCCCGCTCATAATAAACGCCCCTTATTTAATACACGCCCCGTCCCCTCTTTAAAACGCCCCCGTTTTATATACACCTCTTCTCTTAGGCTCCTAAAATTAATAGACGCCCCGAAAGTCTCTTAGTAGCCTACGAAGACAGCCTTCTCTTGTTGTTCCTCGCCTCTACGGACGTTTCGCCTGGAGGCCGGGAAACCGGGGGAAACGTTCCAAGCGGCGAGGAGCGAGGAAAGACAGCTGTTTTCGCAACCTTGTATATTAGACCAGCGGTACTGTTCATTCATCTGAAATCTTCGCCGTTTTTTCTTAAACTTTCCCACTATTTTCGGAAGTTAAGATATTCAAAATTTCACTCTATAGATTAAACTATTATTCATAAGAAAGAACCGCTCCGGTCCCCTAAAATTGATAGAAGTTTTGATTACTGAATAGTGACAGAAAGAGCGTCCTCTCACGATTTTATAAACCAAGAGCCACATTAAGACCAGTGCCATTATGTCTCCTGCAAATAATTATAAAAAGCATATAAATTTTTTCGGGAAAAAACGTGAAAGCCTCAACATTTTCGGTTTCGTAAATAATGACAGAAATGGGTATAACATCTCGATTTCGTAAACGTATAAATATAGCTAAATATAAACATCTTAGCTTTTCGGGAAAAATAAGTAAGAAAGAGCTTATAATTCGAAAAGTATGCTCTAGGAAGGCCGAAGACCAAAAAGTTAACAGTTTTCTAGCACCGTTTAGTACTTTAAAGGCACTCCAGGCAGCCTAAAACAGTTTTTAAATGTATTTGGGAGAATTAAAGTTATCGTTAGGTATCCTTGTTTATTGTACGCTACTAGCATAACATCTCTTCGTTACCTGTCAGATGCGCCAGCAAAGTGAACTCCTAAAACATCGTCCTTCCCTTGTGCTAATTCTGCCACGGCTATCTCCGCATATCCTCGAATAAAAGCATCCACCTCAGGATAATAGCTTTCAAGCTGGCCTTTTTCGACGTACGACACCTGAGGACCAGCCATAACAATTCGCCCTCGATAACGATAGTTTTTCAGCTCTTGCAGAATCGTTTTGAGAAAGGGCTCGTTCCAGACGAAACCTCCAAACATAAGATCGTACTTCGGATCGTCGTATCGACTCCATACCGTATCGAGGATTTTCCTTGCTAAAGGAGAAATCTGTGTTTCTTCCGCAATATTGTAAGTATGAGCAGCGAATTCGATCTTCTTCTGCTTTAAATAGCTGATGATACTTGCTACCCCCAAAGACAGTGGAGGATCTTTGGGGCGAATATGGTCCAAGCTGATAAGTATTGGGATTTTACTTCGAAACATCTAAAACTTCCGTGTCCGATTATAACCACAAAAATTACCTCATCAGCGACAAAATAAAATCATCTGTGCAATGCTGTTGTTGTCAAAAAGTTGAATTTATTCTTAGTACTTTCTTCTGTTTTGTCTACGGTTCCGAAGAAACCACGAATAAATTAGCATAATTATTATACTACCTAACGAACCAATCAAAAGTTCAATTTATTGGATTTCGGCAGTTTGCTATTCCCTTTGTGGATGGATGTAGAATGACAGGTGTCAAATCACTGAAGGTCATGTGACAAGGGCATAGACGACCCGAACTCACTTTACGAACAAAGAATGCTCACTTAAAACTTAAGAGCTAGTTTTCAAAGAACAAACTCATTAAGATACTGTGACCAATTACAAAGCTTCAAATTAAATGAGATTATTAATAAGCTATTTATAATTCAATTTACAAAGAAAGGTGATCTTTAGTCAGCTGTTTAGTAGCACTTTCACATGCACATCAATCCATTAGTTTTTCAGTATACATGCATACACTTCATAATTGTGAAAAGGAAAAAAAACATTTTAATTTTTTTCCTGAATATTGTCTTCTAAGTGAAAAACCCTCAGAGCCTTTCCAGTCCATACTAAAACGATGGGAATTTTGGGGCCGTCAAAACAATAATTAAAGCACCTTACCAACATAACAGAAGTTGTTCAAGGACATCACTGACAAGTTTATTTCAAACTGTCTTCCATCTCTGCCAGTGTTCTGAATTATGAATGTTCCACACCTTGGAAAACTCCTCACTTGTTGTGTCAACCATAACAAACTTCAAAAATTTGGCAGCAAATTCTGCAGTTGCCACTTTCCCTTCCTTTTGAACCTGGTCAAAGTATGAGACATGGGGGAGTTTATGTTGCTTTGCTAGCCTGATATGCTCCCACAAGCCCTCAGTGTCTACAACTCCAGGACGGACATCCGCAATCTGGACATGTGTTCCCTTGAATTCTATGACAAGTTGTTCATACAACCGTTGAAATGCCATTTTTGTGATGCCATATGTTATGGTCCCTAGCTGTGGCGTTGTGGCGACACCAGTCCCAAGATGGATAACTCTTCCTTGGCATGTGTTGAGCCTTGGAAAGAATCCCTTCGCCAACATAAGGGGTGCTGTGACATTAACAGCAAATGCATATTCAAAATCATCGCGCTGGATGTCTAAAAGGCGAGAGGGAACCCCAACAGCAGCATTTTGCACTAGATATTTTACAGAATCACTTTCAGGAATAAAATCCAATATTTTATTCTGCCCTTCGCCTGTTGCTATATCAACAGCCAGAGTATGGATATTGCCTGGGGCATGCCGCTGAGTTTCTTGTAAAGCCTCAAGTCTACGTCCTATAGCAAGGACATGTATATCATGCTGTGCCAATTCTTTAGCGAGTGCTGCACCAATTCCTGATCCTGCTCCAGTTATAACCGCCCAGCTTCTCATCTTCTTGAAACAGAAAAAATACAGTTAGCACAAGAACACAATGGGATTGGCTGATAATTTATAAAACTTCATCAAAAACAAGCCAATATCTCATAAGACTATAATAAGAGGCAATAGAGTACTAAAGTGTGACGTCATAAAAATGAAATTTCTGAAATTATGGGATTTGTCAGGATATTCTGAAAGAACAATGTCCAAGAGGCCTACTTGCCAAAAACAAGCATTTGGGAGCAAATTGTCTCTGAGATCGTAGCCCAGTTATGCTTACAAAATTCCATACAAACCCTTCTAAATTTTTTTTGGGTCGACCCAAAAAAAAATTAGAAGGGTTTGTATGGAGTTTTCTGAGTATAACTGGGCTACGATCTCAGAGACAACTTGCCCCGAAATGCTCATTTTTGGCAAGTAGGCCTCTTGGACGTTGTTCTTTCAGAATATCCTGACAAATCCCATAATTTCAGAAATTTCATTTTTATGACGTCATCACTTTAGTACTCTATATTGTTGACAGAACTTAGCAAAATGAGCAGAATGACTGCAAAATATTTTGTGACCCACAACTATTATATTGGTGGTTTTCACTGCCACACCATCAAAAACTTAAATCAAAACTGTGGAATTTCTGAGGCCAAGAATTTCAGATATTATAGAATATTGATGAATTAACAACCTGGCCAAGTCTCACATCTGTGCAATTTTTTCGCTGCTGAGTTGTTCTTCAAAATGTGTAACAGAAATTTATAGGGCTCACTATGGGGATGCCATATTTGTGCTCCTCAGGAGCACAAATATGTGGCGGCCGGAAATAATGCAAACATCTGGTTTCAGTGTCGCCATAAATTTGATCAATTGTTCATTGCGAACAAGCAAATTATTCCGCTAAACACATTTGCTACTACTTTCACCATTCAAAGGGCATAATATCATTTGATAAATTATTTTTTAGCATATGTGATGGCCTTCTCTGTCACCATATTAATGTCACGCAGAGCAAACTTGGAAAATTAGGAAGAGCTATATTTTCGAAACAGAAAACGCTATCTCGTTGAAAACTTATGCAGAAATTTATTTTTAAGCAATCTTTTGCTAGATGGAGATAAAACCTTAAAGGTTCTTGCAATTTTGGAGTTTGGATTTTTGTGACGTCACTTGAAAACCAAGAATTGTGGAGGCATGTGTACTTGTGGCCGAGTGGTTAACAAGCCTTGCCCGTTGTGTTGCTTCCTTAGACATGGAACTTTACTCCACTTTGTCTCTCCTCGCCCAGGTGTATATATGGGTAGTGGTGACATACTGTCACGGGGTAACCCTGGGATGGACTAGAATCCTGTCGAGGGGAGAGTAGCAATACTCCTAGGGATGCTTCATGCTAAGGAAACCAGCATAAGCCCATGCCATTTGGGCCTTTGGCTCATGTGAGCCTTTACCTTCTATCATACTAATACAAAGTAATATCACCCACGCTTACCAAACCAACCTTTCCCCACAAAGTACATTTTGCCAACAGCACCTTCATATTGTAAAAAAAAAAAGCGCCCTCCGCCGCTCCCCACCGCCTCGAACATTGGCAGCAAACCCTGATGTTTTAGAAAGTGACTGGCCCTTTATATACGGTCATAGCCGGCGCTAGTTCAGTTGGGTTTTAAAGATCCTCAAATGGTGCTGGATAAAGGGTGTTGCATAACATAATGGCTGTAAATTTTCTCCTGGCTACCAGACGACTTTAAGTGAGGGACTTAAGTCTGCTCAGCCATTAAAACTATATCATGTGTTAAACACGAACATAAAGGAACAAAAAAGGCTCCAAGTTTCGCTCGGGGACATGCCGATATATTTCGCTGTACAACGAGCGCCGCTAAGAAAGTAGGAGGTGATCAGCCAAAGGTCTAGTGAAGTTAAAAATATATTTAGCAAACCTAAGTCACTCAGGAGGTAATAACAATAGTTATCCTGGTTATTACAGAAGTGAAGTATTAATAAGTACCTACCTTTCTTTAGGTTTTTTCTACGAAAGCTGCTCAGCGCACTCACAAACACGCACACTTCAGGACTTTCCGAGCGAAATAAGTGTCATTTCCAGACCCCTAAGTCACTGTCATCTTTGCGTGACGACTTGCGTGACAACAAAGTTTGTGGCGTTGTGGCGACACCAGTCCCAAGATGGATAACTCTTCCTTGGCATGTGTTGAGCCTTGGAAAGAATCCCTTCGCCAACATAAGGGGTGCTGTGACATTAACAGCAAATGCATATTCAAAATCATCCCGCTAGATGTCTAAAAGGCGAGAGGGAACCCCAACAGCAGCATTTTGCACTAGATATTTTACAGAATCACTTTCAGGAATAAAATCCAATATTTTATTCTGCCCTTCGCCTGTTGCTATGTCAACAGCCAGAGTATGGATATTGCCTGGGGCATGCTGCTGAGTTTCTTGTAAAGCCTCAAGTCTACGTCCTATAGCAAGGACATGTAGATCATGCTGTGCCAATTCTTTGGCGAGTGCCGCACCAATTCCTGATCCTGCTCCAGTTATAACAGCCCAGCTTCTCATCTTCTTGAAACAGAAAAAATACAGTTAGCACAAGAACACAATGGGATTGGCTGATAATTTATAAAACTTCATCAAAAACAAGCCAACATCTGGTAAGACTATAATGAGAGGCAATATTGTTGACAGAATAGCACCACAAAATATTTTGCAACCCACCGCTACCATATTGCTGGTTTTCACTGTCACACCATCAAAAACTTCAATCAAAACCATGGAATGTCTGAGGCCAAGAATTTCAGATATTATAAGAATATCGATAAATAAACAACCTGGCCAAGTCTCACATCTGTGCAGTTTTCCACTGCTGAGTTGTTCTTCAAAATGTGTAACAGAAATTATTTATAGGGCTCACTATGGGGATGCCATATTTGTGCTCCTCTGAGGAAGACAAATATGGCAGCTGGAAATAATGCAAACATCTGGTTTTAGTATCGCCATAAATTTGATCAATCATTCACTGCAAACAAGCAAATTATTCCACTAAACAAATTTTCTACTAATTTCACCATTCAAAGGGCATACTATCATTCGATAAAGTATTTTATAGTATATGTGACGGCCTTTTCGGTCGCCATGTTAATGTCACGCAGAGTAAACTTGGAAAATTAGGAAGAGCTATATTTTTGAAACGGAAAACGCTATCTTGTTGAAAACTTACACAGAAGTTTATTTTTAAGTAATCTTTTGCTAGATGGAGATAAAACCTTAAAGGTTCTTGTGAGTTTGGGGTTTGGAGTTTTGTGGCGTCACTTGAAAACCAAGAATTGTGGAGGCATGTGTGGCCGAGTGGTTAACAAGCCTTGCCCGTTGTGTTGCTTCCTTAGACATGGAACTTTACTCCACTTTGTCTCTCCTCGCTCAGGTGTATAAATGGGTAGTGGTGACATACTGTCACGAGGTAACCCTGGCATGGACTAGCATCCTGTCCAGGGGAGAGTTGCAATACTCCTAGGGATGCTTCATGCTAAGGAAACCAGCATAAGCTCATGCAATTTGGGCCTTTGGCTCATGTGAGCCTTTACCTTCTATCATACTAATACAAAGTAATATCACCCACGCTTACCAAACCAACCCTTCCCCACAAAGTACATTTTGCCAACAGCACCTTCATATTGTAAAAAAAAGAAAGCGCCCTCCGCCGCTCCCCACGGCCTCGAACATTGGCAGCAAACCCTGATGTTTTAGAAAGTGACTGGCCCTTTATACACGTTCATAGCCGGCGCTAGTTGGGTTTTAAAGATCCTCAAATGGTGCTGGATAAAGGGTGTTGCATAACAAAATGGCTGTAAATTTTCTCCTGGCTACCAGACGACTTAAAGTGAGGGACTTAAGTCTGCTCAGCCATTAAAACTATATCATGTGTTAAACATGAACATAAAGGAACAAAAAAGGCTCCAAGTTTCGCTTGGGGACATGCCGATATATTTCGCTGTACAACGAGCGCCGCTAAGAAAGTAGGAGGTGATCAGCCAAAGGTCTAGTGAAGTTCAAAATATATTTAGCAAACCTAAGTCACTCAGGAGGTAATAACAATAGTTATCCTGGTTATTACAGAAGTGAAGTATTAATAAGTACCTACCTTTCTTTAGGTTTTTTTCTACGAAAGCTGCTCAGCGCACTCACAAACACGCACACTTCAGGACTTTCCGAGCGAAATAAGTGTCATTTCCAGACCCCTAAGTCACTGTCATCTTTGCGTGACGACTTGCGTGACAACAAAGTGTGACTAATTTTGCATTTAGAATAAAATCCATCTTGCTGTGATCCTGAAGAGAAACCATTATATAAGCGGAACTAAAAACTGCAAATCTCTATTTTAAAGATTCTTGCGAACTAAAGACAGTTTGAGTCCTTTATTATTATTATTATTATTATAATGTTGCCTTCCTTTCGCTATTTATGCATTAAATTGCGCAGGAAAGATTCATAAAGTATATTTAGTGATCATTATAAAAAGAAATTCGTCAAATTTTCTTGCCCTTCTGAGCATCAAAAAACAACAAGGGAAAAATAAACATTAACGCAGTGTAGGTAAACTTTTGCGGACAAGTATAATAATACTTCTTAATATTAAATCAAACCAAATTCAACACAAGTAAAGAGTATCTAAAACTTTTTAAGGTCAATGTTGGTAAATTAAATAATTCTATTTACAATCCAGAATTCCAAGTCGTATTTACAGTTGTATCAGACGCACAAATAATCCGCAAATTGCTCATTTCCTGTAGGGTTTGACCCAGTGATGATGACTGTACAGTACTTATTCATTCAACTGTTCAATTCATCCATATTCGTCGAGTTTAAGGACATCACGAGGTCACGGCAAGGGTTGTGGATATTAAAAGTTTACAAATCCCAAAACATATAAGAGAAGAAAATATTGGACTTGAATCAATGCTAGTTAATACCATTCCCGTTCCACAAGTTTGAGCAAATGAAATAATGCCAGTTACGAACTTGACAGAATTAACAGTCACGGGAAGGTTTTTGCAGGTGTTTTGAAGCCTTCTGTGGGTTTTTCTGACGATTTTTCAGTTTCGATTTCCTGACTTTTCGTCTCTCTACTACCACAGCTGGCTCCTGTGGTTTGTTGTTCTTGTTTTGACGGCTCAACCGCTTCCCATTCGAATCTGCCTCCTTCTAACGGTTCTCCTCTCGGAAAATCGAAATTATATTTTTCGTTCATCTCTTGTACGTCTTTGTTCAATTCCTTCTTCAAATCGGCTTCAAGTTGTTGATGATCGGGCCGACCAAATAGACATCTCTTCGCTTTGCTTGACTCGGGATTCATCAAGATTTTCCTAGATATCCAAAACTCAAAAATGTTCTTCTCGTTTCCTTGTCTTAATGTATTCCCGCCGGCTGTTACATGCACAGACTTTTAAACATAGCCAAGCGCGGCAAAGTGTATACTTGCGTCACTACGTCATCGGCAGGTATACATCACGCGATATCTGCACTTCGCGCCCAGGCAAGTATGAACTTGTTGACCCGTCATTAAAAAGGAACATTCTAACGTTTGAAAAATGAAAGAAGAAACCATGCATTAGGGATTAAATACTTTCAATATTCATAATGTTTGTTTTTCGTGGTGATATTGTTGCTACGGTTTCTTTTCTTCATAATTCTAAGAAATGAGAATTTTTTATCCGTTAATCACCAAAACCGTCAAGTCAAACATCGAAAACACAAATTCGAAAAATGAGTTAATTCACCCAGAACTTGTGGGTCTGTAATCCCACGCTTCATTTGAATAAGATTAGAAAATTCTTTCATCGTCTAATTACTAAACAGAAAAAGTGACGGAAGCCGGAGAACCTTAAACACGTGTTAAGTTCAAGGGGGTGATGTCTTAAACTAAGAAAAATACTGTAGTGCAGAATTAAAGATTTAAAATGCACAACTCGAGTCTTGCAGTTTGAAAATAAGAATTAATGAAGCCCCTCTAAGCGTGAGAAAATAATGTTAGAGGAAAACATCGTATAGTACGAGACATCTCAATACAAGGAGCGGAAGAGGCCAAAAGGCGGCGTAATAACCTCACTCAAGTGTAGAATGGGCGGGATTTTTACCCCCAAAATTTATTATTTCCAGTGAGTCATTCGCCAGATTTTTACTGAAAACAACTATTAAGATGAAGTTATTCCTTCCTTTTAAGATTAAGAGATTTATCTTCATACTATGAGCAATCCAGTTACAAGGGCTTCTAGCCTTAAGTACAAAGTTAGCGACTTATTTTCAAGATCTGGTTGTCCCCGGTCAGCAAGTCCATTTGCTCTAACATTAATCCGGTAGGTGAATACATAAAACGGGTCAATTTTGTCTGTCTATATTTAGAAAGAAAAAAGTTCTTACGTCAGTAAATCCCCGCAGTTAGTCTAGGGCAGGCTTAAACTTGTGACTAGCCTTTACTAGTAAGGATGCAATGAAAAGGCATGGAAAATATTGGCCCACGTATGGCAATATTACTGAATCAGGTTTAAATTTTTTGCTGATCTGGACTGTAATCAAGAGATCCTCTTTTAACTGTAATGGATTTAAGTCACAAATTCCAAGACTGAGCTACCTATTTTTCTTTTGGGGCAAGTTTGAACGCATTCTTTCCTCCTACCCAACCCCCGACCCCGCGTCTCGATGTCACGAAAACTTTTCTTTTTGGAGACTGGGAACGACCGAAAGAAGACTTCAAAATATGGCGGCAAGGAAACTGCAAACAGTATACTAGGTTTTTTCTCAGTTTTTAAGCTTTGATTAGGAATTCAGAAACTTTCTTACGAACTTCTTGACTAATCGACGTGTAGGCTATCAATTTACGATTACAATGCAATGAGGAAATCGTGAGTATTTGCTACTTAAAAGACTACCATAGTCTTATTCAGTGAGTTCGCTAATGAAGAAATTAAGTAGTAACTCTTTTAGTTCATTAAACTTTTTCTCTCCCTCTTGGCGACAGGGGTGATCCATTCGAAGTTGAGCCATTTCCAAAGACATTTTATTACCCTTCACAACAAAGAGAGTTGTCCGAAGGCCAGAGAAAGGTATTGCCCTCGCCATTATTCCATGTTCATCTTGCATTGCATGGCTTGAGTCGAGGTTCTCGATCGTTCGCGTTTGCGCTAAATTGAAGAAAATTCGCACGTACGTGTGAAATCAATATTCGTGCAAAGAAATAGTAAATAACGTCAGAAAGGTAGATATTTTTAGGAAAACTTATTTATTCATTCAATAATGTCGGCCATTTGTTCAGCTTGTAAAAATTTAACAGCAAAGAGTTTTTAATTTAAAGCTTGATTTCAGTTAGATCTCGTCAGCTACCTTGGCGTTGCACATCAGCAAAGAGATCGCATGAAACAAATATTTGGACATTTCTTCAGTACTGTATAAGAATCAAATATATTTATAAGCATTTTAGCTAAAGAATGTTTTCTAAGGTGAGTTGTCTTCAGTATTCTATATAAAACTCGCCCGTGAAACGTATTTTTCGAGTAAGGTGTAAAAATCTCTCAGGCTATGATTGATTGTCATTTTCTGGTCAGGATTGTCTACAAGTTTGCGTCGGGCATTTTATCAGCTGACAAACAGCTGACAAGCTTGTTGAATGATGCTTTTTGTGGTTGTTGTCATTTTTCCACAGATCTGCCTCAGCCCTGGTCGAAAAAAAGAAGATCTGGTTATAAGTCCTGCTGATAAGAAATTTCTTCAAAAAACCAATGATATGAAAATTCATGAAATACCGACAAGAGAGAATGGAACAACAGATCCGGATCATTCCTCGTCCTCCAAGTTTGACGAATCCTGGCCCAGTACTGAGAGAGCAATGGTATCTACTCCTGAAGCAGAGATTAATATCTCAGAGATGTCAAAGACTCCCTCAAGTACAGGAAGCAATCTCTTGCTCCATCCACTCCCTGATTCTACTTTAGCAAGGTTGGTGATGTGATTCACTGAAGGCCCTGTCTCATGCTGTGATCCCAGCACTTTTCACTGATGCGATTCTTGTATGACGTGATAGAACCTGTTTGGAAATTCATCTATCCCTCCTCACTCCTTACTGCAAGGGAAGTTTCATGGGAGAGACATGATTCCCCCCTTAAAAATTATTTACTATTGACATAGATTTGTCGGGAATCTAGTTAACAAGCACTGATTGGTTGATGTACATAATAACTATTCTTTAAGCTTTTGTTTACAAATGACAGACAAAAGATCACAAAAGTGAAAATAACATACAAACAATGAAATCTTCTAAAAAACAGTTATTATATTGGAGTGTACAGTGTATTCCTCTTTATTTGAGTTTTGTTGTTGCTGGTTCACAGAACTCAAAACTTTACGACCACAGACTATCAGAAACTTAAGCTAAAATAAATTTTCAGCTGGAACTCTATGACTACCATTAATTATTAATTACGTCATGTCTCTCCCTCGAAATGTGCCTAGCAGAGGGGAGTGACAGACTGTGGTATTTCTAGGCTAGAACCACTAAGGATGTAAAAATCATTAGCAGCTACAGTCAACTCCCTTTATAGCAGACCCGGTGGGGAGCTTGGTTTAGTGTCTTCATTAGCGAGTGTCCGTAATAATGGGAGTTTATTTCAGTCAAACATCTGTAATTTATTTTTTCCTGGGATTTAGCTGCTGTCTGTATTATCAGGGTGTCCGTTATAGCAGGTGACTGCAAGGCGAGAGTTCACTTTACTACCCTTGCTGTCTATTTCCAGGCAGTACTTTACTTGGAGCCTACTGAAATGCAAAAAGCTAATTTAGAGTGTTTGGATTTCATTATTTCAGAGATATGAACTCTGTAAAATTTTCTCAAAGCACAGCCTTATACCTTTACCTTTTTCTAGGTACATACATCGCTTTCGCAATGCACCTCCTTCTAGTCGACAAGCTAGAGACAGGCAGTACACTGACAGTGGAAAAGGAGGTGAATTTTGGTGGTTATCAGAGCCCTCCCCTCCCACCAGCTCAACACCCAACGAAGGGACCCCTCCTGAGCGGCTCTTAGGCCCATCCCCACGTCCTAGTCTCTCGCCAAAGCAGAAGAGGGCTGCAGCCAGGAGGGGTAAAGCTACAGTTTCTCCAATATCAGTGAGTATCATCAGGATATCAGGGTTGTCATTTTAGACAACTCAGCTGTCTGCTTCAAAACTTTATGACAACCCTGGATATTAGACAAGCCAAGATGTATTTATGTGCCATTATCCTGTCTATTTGAATAAAGACCGTCACGTCACGTCTTTACATTTTTATTTCAGGCATTGCAAAGTGGTTCCTCACCTTCCAAGTCATCTCTTGATGGTTTGGACCCCAAAACTGCAGATTTACAACAACGGGCCCAAACTCTGCTTGAGAAGAGGTGATTTTCAAGTATACTTTATTCTGTCGTTAGTTTAAGCATTGTTGTGTCATTTTTTAACTAAATCATACATTATCAATGTTGCAGTGAGAGCACTCTCGAGACTTCGTCCAGTGAGGTTTACAGACCCACAAGAAAACCAAAACAGGGTCCTCTTTCGAGTAGGACTTGCACAGAAGTGCCATCTCAGCATGAACTCCCTGGAACTTCCATGAGCGGCCAGTCAAGGCCACTGCAACCTCGCCCTGCGCCTCCCCCTGAGGAAGATATTTTGTATCAGTGGAGACTGGCAAGGAAAATGGAGAGGGCTCAAGAGAAGGTTATGAAATNTACACTGACAGTGGAAAAGGAGGTGAATTTTGGTGGTTATCAGAGCCCTCCCCTCCCACCAGCTCAACACCCAACGAAGGGACCCCTCCTGAGCGGCTCTTAGGCCCATCCCCACGTCCTAGTCTCTCGCCAAAGCAGAAGAGGGCTGCAGCCAGGAGGGGTAAAGCTACAGTTTCTCCAATATCAGTGAGTATCATCAGGATATCAGGGTTGTCATTTTAGACAACTCAGCTGTCTGCTTCAAAACTTTATGACAACCCTGGATATTAGACAAGCCAAGATGTATTTATGTGCCATTATCCTGTCTATTTGAATAAAGACCGTCACGTCACGTCTTTACATTTTTATTTCAGGCATTGCAAAGTGGTTCCTCACCTTCCAAGTCATCTCTTGATGGTTTGGACCCCAAAACTGCAGATTTACAACAACGGGCCCAAACTCTGCTTGAGAAGAGGTGATTTTCAAGTATACTTTATTCTGTCGTTAGTTTAAGCATTGTTGTGTCATTTTTTAACTAAATCATACATTATCAATGTTGCAGTGAGAGCACTCTCGAGACTTCGTCCAGTGAGGTTTACAGACCCACAAGAAAACCAAAACAGGGTCCTCTTTCGAGTAGGACTTGCACAGAAGTGCCATCTCAGCATGAACTCCCTGGAACTTCCATGAGCGGCCAGTCAAGGCCACTGCAACCTCGCCCTGCGCCTCCCCCTGAGGAAGATATTTTGTATCAGTGGAGACTGGCAAGGAAAATGGAGAGGGCTCAAGAGAAGGTTATGAAATGGGGGCCCACTTGGAGCTCTACAGTGCACAGTCAACCCAACATAGCTTCACAGACTACCCAGCCACACATTTTGTCTAGTACAGATAGAGTCCCACCCACATTTTCCCAGATAGGTGTTGGTTACCAAAGACCAGAACTGCAATTACCAGCTCACCCAGTTGCTTCTAGAATGCCAGTAAGGGCCACAGGTGCACCAACCAGGACACAAACAACTGTTGCAGCCAGTGGGGTAGTTATGACTGACAATGAAGTGTCTCCAGTGATTTCTTCTCCATCTGGAGTCACTACAATGGCACAAGCGCCCACATCAAGTGGTGAGGTTCCTTCTGTTGTCATAGCAACCTCGAGTGGAACCCATGATGGAGTGCCAAGCAGGGAACAGTCACGTGTTGTAGCTGCAGACAGGACAGAAGACTTGGGACACATGCAAGAACCTGTTAGAATGGAGTGGGAGCAGTTTGTATTAGCAGATGTGCCATCTCATATGCATCTCTCATGTGACATTTTACCATGTCCTCATCAAAAAAGTCTAATTGAAAAAGGAAGTTCTGATTGTAGAATCCCTTTAAGTTCTCCAGTAGTTGACTCATGGGCAGAAGAATCACACACTCAGGTGAGAGATACTAACAGAGAACATGAAAAAGAAAGCACAAAGACGATGGAATCAGGTGATGACAGGCAAAATTTTGGCCCGCCAAGAGCTAGACAAAATGGTCTTGGGGACCAAACGAGTCACAGAAAAGTTGAACCACCCAAATTACCTGGCAAAAGATCTACATCACCAGAGATTACTGAACAAGAGAAACACAGAAGAAGAGAAGCTGGAAGGGAGAGGCCAAAAGCAAAGAGTGAGACGTCTCTAGGGCCTGGTCCTTCTGATGTGCTACATGCTGTTATTGGACAGGTAGGCTGTTTTGCTTACTGTAGATAACAATTCAAGGTCCGTCTCTGTCCTGCATAGGTTTAATTGGGCCCTGCCTACAAACTGGCTCAATGGATTCTCCCTGTTGTCCGGGTGTCCTGTTGTCCTCGTTGTTGCTGTTGTAACTGTTGTCCTTGTTGTCGCTATTGTCGTTTTTGTCCCAGTTGTCCCGGTGTTCCTGGTTGTTCCGGTTGTTCCTGTTGTCCTTGTTGTCCCTGTTGTCCTGGTTGTTCCGGTTGTCCTAGTTGTTCCGGTTGTTCCAGTTGTCCTGGTTGTTCCGGTTGTCCTAGTTGTTCCGGTTGTCCTGGTTGTTCCGGTTGTCCCTGTTGTCCTGGTTGTTCCGGTTGTCCCTCTTGTCCTGGTTGTCCCTGTTTTCCTGGTTGTTCCAGTTATCCTGTTGTCCTTGTCGCTGTTGTCTCTGTTGGCAAAAGGTGGGGGCAGGAATTATTTACGCTTTCTCTGAAAAGACAGGACTTTCAATACAGGGTTGTTTAGGATTTGTGTCAGGCACTTGATCATTCCAATCCCAGAAAAAAGTCTTACCTCTTTGTACGATTTACAATACATCCTTGATCGGTTTTGTAATGTTTTTCACAGGTTGTGTCAGAACGCCTTTTTTGCACAAGCACTCCTCATTCATCTACCAGTAGTTTGAGTGGCAGCGAGGAGTTTCCTCAAAAGATTGTAAGAGAACCCAAAAAATCATACCATATTCATGGTAAGGCTGTGATCGAAATAAACAAGTGTCAACTCATCAAGGAAGTCTCTATAAGTCTGTAGGAGCGAGGTTTCGTAATTTGATACAGAAAATTTGTTGTAGTAGAGCGTTTATACCTCAACAATTTTAATTTCATTTTCAGCCTTTTTCTCTTTTTCATGCCGGGGCGTCTGTAACACCACTAGCATCAAAACATTGTGATGTTCTTAATCGCGGCGTCTCTGTAATCCCGCTCGTGATGTTGGAAAAGTACTTAGGACCATCGTGGTGTGTGTTGTCATGTGTCGATGATACCGGGTGGTTTTTCGTGTTACCGTGTTGCCGTATTTTAATATAGTTCGTTATACCGGGGTCTCCACATATGCCAGGGCGTCATTAATATTGGGATGTCCCCGATACCCGACTGGAAAATGGCGCCAAAAGCGTGATCACGTGGTTTATTACTGCTGCGCAATTCCAGGTTGTAGTCGGTTGTAGTGTCTGCAAGTAAAGAGTTGATTGTATTATTTTTTTTTAGCTTTAGAGGATGAAAATGCTGATCTTTATGGAAGTTCAGACAATGAATTCCCAGATGACAAGTTGTTAAAGATGTTACGTCAACGAGCAAGGAGATACAGAGAACAACTGAGGTAACTCCGATATTGATGAGGAAAAAAAACAGTTGGGAGCTTCTTTAATCAACAACGACCGGCGCTTGTTCCCTCTCCTTCAATTCGTCAGATTGAATCGTCAAGTAGAATTCTAAAGTATTGTAACAAAGTTTGTCGTCGTTACTTAAGCTCCCTAGTATATCTGCTGACCCTATCAGTTTTCCCTCTCTGCGTGACCTAGCACTATTGGCTTACTTCCGGGTACATGGACATAAGAAAAACCGGAAGCGTTTTCAATGCAAAACCAAATGATTGATAGCTCGCATTGAGATTTTCATTGGAGAGTTTATTGTTTGGATGTTTTTGTTACAGATTCACGCATGTAAGTGTAACTGACGGAAAATGAATTCGGTACCATGTTTAATCTAATGTAAACTAAGCCGAAATGTTACATTAAGGTTTCACTGCATGATAATGTTATTTTTTCTTTTTTTTCAGGCAAATAGACAATCTGTTAAACCAGCATACTCCTATATCAAGCTCATAGAACTTGAGGGAACAGAATTTAGATGAACCACTTTATTCACTGTATTTCAGATATAGATATTTATGAATAAATTGCAAAGTTATTTTTAATTAAGCTCAGTCTTTGGTTTCATTGAAACATTGCCTTCTGTCTTCAACTCAACTGGCCGTTGTTTAGCGCGGAAGGATCATTAAACGCCCCACCCCCTAACCAGATACTTAAGGCGGACACAAGACGCATTACACGCTGTCTCCGCTTTTTCGCTTCTCTCTTCTCCTTACCTCCCCCCCCCCCGCCTAGAAACACCTGATACTCGCGCCAAATTTTCTTTTCCTTAGGTGGTTCTTAACAATAGGATTCCACTTAAGTACTTTTAAATAAAAAAAAGTAGCCTTTACTTTAAGCGAGGAATTAGTCATGGTCCTAACCGCAAACAAACACTGCATTTTTAATCCCTCCTATGTGGAAACTGTCTGGCCCAAAGTCTCGTCCTCTGGAGGGAGGTTGAGTTCGACTGTAGCCGGGCTAGATGAGATAAACTGTCCTCGATGTAGCCTGCGTTGCAGCCGGCCCACGCACTCGTCTAAATCCTTTGTATAGCTATATATAGAAGGTTTAGAGCGTCTGCGACGCAGGCTATCCTCGATGATACAATTGAGGGAAACTAATTCCGGGACTTTGACAAGTGAAGTGCCGGCTTTCCTTAAGAAATGAATGGGCAACGACTTTATACTTATTGCACACCCCGGGTAATTTTTCCCTTAACAGAAAGAAAACGCGAACTTACGTCTCCCTTTTCCCTTTTGTCCGGTTAACATCCGAGGAAACTGGCACTACTTATAAGCGCGCACTGACACCTGGTATAGCATGCCCTCCATCATGGCGGCTGGTTCGGGTGGAAAGAAGAAATCGAAAGGCGGCTTAGATCACGAGCAGATTATTATGCAATTTAATCAGATGAGACAGGAGTATAGAGGTATCATGGGGAAAATAGGGGAGCTGGAAATGGAAGTAAATGAACACGGGTAAGAAATCCAATAACCTCTTCAAAAGCAACGTGCAGATTTTTTTAATTTTCAAGCCACTATAACGAAATTTAATACTCACAATGGGAGTTATAATTTGGCACCTTGTGACTTGAAGGTTTTCAACAACAAGTGCATAGAAGTTTTGTTTTATGTTTTCACTGGAAATTTATGTGGCCAGGACATTGGTAGCAGCCAGAGATAAACAGATCGATGTACTGTACAAAGTAAATGCATTTTGACAGCTAATTAACAAGTCAGTTTCAGTTTGGAGCGCGATCATACTACATTAACTGGAGACATTACAGTGCTTATGTCTGAGACCCATTCAGAAATTCGGAAAGGTGTAAAAACAATCATCAGAAGACTTCCAACACACTTTGCTAACTATATATGTCTTATTTTTTTCAAGGAATAAGGGGGAGATAAGTAATTTTGTACATAATCAGCATTTTCCATGAATGTTCCAGCTTTGAATCCTGAGAAAACATTATCTATCTTCCACTGATTTTTGTTTCATGAATTCTGTTCCACTTGTAACATTCCAAAAATTAACATGTCTCGTCACCTCAGAACTTACTGGTTATCGCAGAAAATCAACATGAACCAACATAAGCCAATGGAGCGAGTCTGAACCCACTGCTCAACACCTCTATCATTAGCTAGAGCCTATGCCTCCCAGGGTTCCTAATTAAACTGATGAAGGAGTTTGCTTGAAACAAAATCATGTAAATTCCCCTGTTTATTTGTAGTACCGTCATAGAGGCACTTAAAGGCGTGGAGCCCGAGAGACGCTGCTTTCGAATGATTGGTGGAGTATTAGTTGAGAGAACAGTAAAAGATGTACTTCCGGCACTGGAAAATAATAAACAACAGGTGAGCTCCAGGTTAAAACCAGACTTGCCAACTCCCAAGAGGTAAAAATCTTGAGATTCTGAACTTAGAGCTGGGAAAAGCAGTGAGAACTGGGACAGGGTGCAAACTAAAAGAAAATTATTTTTACAGCTTGCCACTCGGGCAAGCTGAAGCTAGCATTTACTAGCCCCAAAAGCTGTCTGATGAGCAGAATTGATTGCACAGTTCTTCTGTTATTCGAATTCCTCAAAAAAAATCACTTGCCCGTTGGACAAGTTACAAACAGAATGCATACTAGCTTGATAGCAAAATCCACTAGCCCTGGGCTATCGGACACTAGTTTCTTTGCACGCTGATTTGGGAAAAAGTCGTGAGATGGACTTACAGCACAGATTTGGGGTATTGGAAGTCCTGTATCTTTTAAAGCTGGAGCAGTAAAAATGGTAAAGCTGTATGGCTGAAAATAATGCACTTTATTTGTCAGAGTGTCAAGGTATTTCGCATGAAGAGTACTTATTGGGGACAGTGTTTTTTACGTGTCCAACTGGAGACGGGACCACCATTTTACGTGGTCATCTGAGCCATGCAAAGGTCTAGCTTCCCTCAGTGCAAAGGGTCCGAGTACCTTTTCTTTCTCAGTTTTTTTTCAAGACCCTGAGTAAAGGTCTGACCACAGGAATTGAACCTGTGACCTTCCGCTCTGCAGTCAAGCGCTCTACCGACTGAGCTAATCCTGCCGTGGTCGAAGAACAATGTAAACACTGCCCCAAGTTGGCAATCCACACCTTTTGGGTGTTATAGAGGAACTTATTTCTTGGGTTGAGCTTTTTGTAATGCAATAGGCATGACATGTAGAAAAGATCCCCTCGACCCCCAAATGAGAGTTGGTCTGTAACTTGCAATATTTTCAACAGAATGTTACTAACATTTCTTCATTTACTCGTGAGGAAATTGATCTGGGTAGAATATAAAATTTTTTAAAAATTAAATAACAGTGATAATCAAACTCAGAAATATTTATGTATTATTACTTGTTAATTTTCTGTCCTCAGATTTCCGGTCTTATTAATAAGTTAAAAGATTCATTAACAGCAAAGGAACAAGAACTGAAAGCATTTAAAGAGAAACACAACATCCATGTCAAAGGAGAAAAAGATGCCCCATCAGAGGAGGCAGTGCAAACAGCGGATAAGACATCAGGAGTTCTAGTAGCACAAGACAGCTCATAAAGGATTGCACTACTATTTATATTTTCATAGACTGAAGGACAATATGTGGCTCGAATAGTGGCACTCTGTAAAAACTTGCTATGATAAATTTCCTGCATTATTTTTGTTTGTTTGATATATTATTATCCCATATTATTATTACTGCACAGAAGCTTGATTCTCCCTGGGTGAGATTCTCGTATTATTTGCCGTTGGCAGTTTGGCGTGCCATAGTCACTGTATGCTTACAGATGTTCAGATAATGGGAACTTCCCAGGACTTAGTTTACCATAAATGAACTGAGAGTCAAAGTCCTCTAAGCAGCAAATTTTAGTGTGATGGCTATTATCAGACAAGATGCATTAATGTGTATCAAAATGACTGTATTTTTTGAAAGATTTGATGCATTATGTTCAAGATAAAATATGTGCTGAGAAAGGAGTTTGAGTGGATGAGCTAGACTGAAGTAGATAAAAAATCAGACTAAACAAAAATCTCTTCTGTTCACTCTATGTAGATCAGCTATTCAACAATTTTTTTTGGGGGGGGGGCGGGTGAGGGGGAGGAGAGCAGAGAAGTGGAGAGAAGAATGGGGAGGACTGGCCCCCCTCTATCCCCTCCCCTGCTGCCAAAACATCCTTGATATAATTTATGCATTAATGACCAAGAGTAAGCCCAACATGGCTGGGTACTGGCCAAGGTCTTCTGTTGTTTATTGACATCCAAAAAAAAAATGAACAAATGGAGCTAATATGCAGCCATACAAGCTTGGTCAACAAAGGGTTTATCACTGAGCTGAAAGGAAAAAATGTCTACCAGGAACAAAGCATGCCATGTTGCCGTCTCTTCATCGAACTGCAGCAACCTGGCATCTCCAAACTAAACTCACACTCTGCAAAAATTTAGGTGTAAAATTTCTCTCAAACTCAGTGAGTCACATGAAAAACTGCACAGCCTAAAAAAACTTGGTGACAGTCAACACTCTCTAAGACGGACACCTTTGGGGCCGGCACTAAGGGTCCATCTTAGAGAGGTGTCCATCTTATAGAGAGTCAAATAAAGGGAGTAAAGAAAGGCAAGGACCAATTCTAGGTGTCTGTTTTACAGAGGTGTCTGTCTTATAGAAGTGTCCGTTAAGAGAGAGTTGACGTATTGCCTTTGGCTTCTATAACTTTTTAAGCACCTCTCAGATTATTTATTGAAAGGATTTAACTTTTGTGTTTTGTAGACATGACAGAGAATACCAGCAATACATACCCTGAAATCAATTTGAGTTCCCTCCATTGAAAGACACTTATCAAAGTAGATTACAGTTGTGATGTTCCATTCCAATTTACTATAACCTCTTATAGACTGTTTCAAGCCATTTTCCTGTATGACTTGTCTTTATTGATGATGCAAGACAGATTGTAAAGAAACTAACTGTGCCATCCTGAAAAAGCTTTATTAAACTTCAGAGGCATTTCACATTCTTCTATTTTATGGTGTTTTATCGATGGACATATGAACTGTTTGTGCATGTCAGGGGGGGAAAGGTGGGTGGGGATTCCACTCTCTACCCCTACCCCTACCCCTGGTTTTTAGGCAGAGACAGAAGTATAATGTACTTGAGCAAGTAACCCGGTCTGTTGTGAAAACTGTTATAGATGGCTAAAAGCAAATGAAAGCAAGATGGTCAAAGATCTCTTTTTCACAACCTCGCTGACACTTTCAGGAAATCTTCAGCAGCACTTTTTGCATGGTGCAAATTTATTTATTCATGATTGTACAACTTTTGTCGCAGAATAAGGCAAAAGTGCAAGTGTTAAAAGAAGTCAGCTGCTTTCTGTCTCTTTGGTGACTTGGATTGTTTCTGTTGTTTCTGTCGCGTGTCTGTGGACCTCTTTACTTTGACATATAGTGGGGTTCTTCTAGGCAAGGGTGGTGACTTGAGTAATCCCTGCATTGGTGTCTTTTGTGCATCAAATGGAATGTTAGGACTTTGTTTTAGAGTGCGTAGATAATCTGTTAGATAAAAAAAATACCAAAGATCAATATCATGCAAATATTTTGCACCAGCAGTAAGCAGCCACAAGTGTGATCTTATGCTGGAAAATTTACCCCAAGGCTCAACCAATCTAATTCGGAAATTTTAAATGATTTGATAAAGCAAAAAAAAGAATAGAACAGGTTTAAGCAAACCTTGTGTAGTGTGTGCTGTGTTTTTAGACATCTCAATTCTTACTCTCTTCCGTGATCCCTTGGCTGGAACAGAAGTTGGTGTTTGATACTTAAGAAAAAAATTACATTAGCATAGGATAATCATATACTGAGCAACCTTGTTTTAGTGCAATGTAGTTGACATCACTGTGATTTTATTACTGGTTATTGAAGCAACACCACTTCTGGTGCAAAGTTAGTTTCCTTCACATTTGGACAAGACCATCTCATTGTTTAACCCTTTAAGCCCCAATATATACATACAAATTCTCCAAACCGATCTCTATATATTTCCTTAAAGAATGAGTTGAGAGAATTTGACAAAAAATCAAAACATTTTCTCTTAGGTGATCATTTTATTGATTCTCATAACCTAGTCTCTTGACATTGTATGGATATCATTGGGAGAAAATTGCTGTTGGTCACTATTGGGACTTAAAGGGTTAATAGCAAAGATGAGGTTGGAAAATAAAAGATGTAAATTTCCATTATTTTGTTGCACACTTGTGCTTTAAAATTCTTCCAGAATATTATTATTTTATTGGCTTGACATTGAGATAACCAGAATCCTTGAACTCAGC